ACTCCACCGCTCAACCACGAAGCCACCACACGTCCCCTTCATCAAGGGGTGGGCAAGGCGGGAGCCGGCCCACGGAGAGGACTATCCAAGCCTCGATCACTCGGGGTAGTTCTTCCTTCACTCCGAAGGTGGTGAACTCCAAACCACTCACAAACGGTGCCGGGCCTCCTCCACAATCTCCTCGGAGAGGTCACCGGGCAACACCTCCACAAGCCGTCTAGGAGGCGGCAACCTTCAAGAGTAACAAGTCTAGGATGCTTGCCGAGGATGATCAAGTGCCACACTAGCTATAACAATGAAGCAATGCACTTGGATTGGCTTAACTCACTCTCTAACACCTCACTAGATAAACTAAGTGCACAAGGGTGTGAGAGCTCTTGCAAGGGTTCAAGATAATGCAATGGAGTGCCAAAACCTTACCCTTGCTGGTGGGGAGTGGGTATATATACCCCCAACCACCAAAACTAGCCGTTGGAACCGAAATCCCAAACTTTGTGCTCTGCCGGTCAGATCGGACTACTTTGTAACGGCTAGAAAACTAGTCGTTACAGGGCAATCATTGAGCCCACTCAACCTGGCCGGTCTGACCGCAGTGTAGTGGCCAGTCAGACCGTCCACGGCTCGGTCAGACCGCCGTCGGCTCGGTCTGACCGGTTGCGGCTCTGGCGGCTCTGTATCGCCACCAAAAACCAGACCAGTGCAACAGACCAGTGGGGCCGGTCAGACCGGCCTTACCACGCCGGTCAGACCGGCTAACAGACCCGGTCAAACCGGCCTAAGGCCCACGGTCAGACCGCAGGTCACTTTTCACCTCAACCGACCGTTAGTAAAACGGCGATATCTCTTGCCTCGGGTCTCGGAATTTGGCGTTCTTGGACTCTATGGAAAGCTTATTCAAAGGGCCATCCAACCCATGAAAAATCCATCCAAGAAACACAACTTAAGTCAAGGATAAAGGGCTCACACTCCAAAGGATATCCACCGGACATACCCACAAGATGTCACTCACTCCTATTGGACATGCCCACTTCTCTCTTGGTTTAGGACTTGAGAAAATTCATCACACTTGGTTAGACAAGCCCACAAAATGCACGTAGATGCATATGAACTAATATGGCACAAGATCATCCACAAGCTCGCTTCATAGACCCCTCTTGATAGTACGGCGCCTATCTAGCAAATCCGGTCTATACCAAACACCAAGACCGGGAAAAGACTAAGAAAACATTCTTAGCTACATGATGCCTTTGCCTTGCGCCATCCATCTTGGGGTCAAGCTTGAGCCGAGATCAACACTTGTGACCATCCGGTTGAACCATGTTTATGCCGAGGTCTTGTCCATCCTTTGTCAAGACTTTATTCTCATCACAAGCTTGACTTCATTCTTGCCAACATGACGATGTCCTTGGCTTGGTGACCACTAACCCATGGTGTCATTCATTAGCCTCATCGTAGTGGGACCTATTCCTTTTCACACCTCAAAGGAGAACATTAGTCTCAACAAATCGGTTGTCATCCTTCACTTGATGACCAACCGGTTGCATATGAAAGATATGGATATATTTGTTGAGTATTCATTAATATCACAAGTGTCATATACTCGTATGCAAGCTCAAGTGCAAAGATCCGATATAAATAATAGGTGAACAACATGGATCTAGAACATGCACAATAAATGTATATGATTTGCTCCCCCTAAATATATGCATACAAATAAATATACAAGAGATGCAAGTGTATGCATAATTAGAGAATGACCAATGGGGGTTTATCCTATAGATATAGAGAAGGCATATGTAGTAATGATGTAGACCAACATAAAACATATACCTTCATGATCTCCATGTTCTCAATGTAAATGAGACTAAATAAGATAACATTCGAGTAAACATTAGTCTCACACTTATATATCAATAACATGGAAATCATATATATGAACCTATCAAAAAGTAGGAGATAAGAAGTGGTACATATCGTTTTATCTCCATGCATTTCATTCTTGTCATGATTAAGGTCCATCACAAAAGAATGCATGTCTTCCACATCTCATTATCGGGAAATAACCTAGTAGACAACTTATGCAACAGAGAGGTTAATCCCATAAACATCGGTTTATCATCTATCACCAAAGTAACAATTACACAAATTGTTTAATCCAAGATCTTTCAATCTTTTCTCTCTTTGGTGATGGATAATAACCCGATATAAACAATATAGAGAGATGAGATGAAAAATGATTTCAAATCAAGATAGAAATCTTATAATAAACAAAATATAGAATAAGCTCCCCCTCAAGATGTGCATACATATGGATATGAAGGAACGCATATGCACATAATCAATAAAGATCAAATAGGAAGCTCACACTATATTTTAGATCCACAAGAGAGACCAAGTTAAAATATGTGAAGTTTAATACATACCTCTCATCATTTTTACTTTCATATCCAAATGAGACTAGTCAAAGAAAGGCTCATAAAAACGTTAGTCTCATATAATTAGATTTGTCATTAATCACCGAAACCAAATTAAGGCACTTGAACTTACAGCGTCCTCTGGCCCGGAATAGTTATAAGCTGGATGGGCCCGAGCCTGAAGCGGCTGGATCCGCCTACCAACGAAGTCTGCAACGACTTCATATCCTGACAAACCCCGTGCTCGGAGATCGTCGATGATGTCGATAAACGACTGAAGAGAGGGGGTCAAGGGGGGCTTTGCGGTCCAAGACGAAATCTTGTCCGGTTGATCTTCGGGAACCACGAAGACAGGGTTCGAGTCCTTGATCTCAAGATAAAACCACCTATTCTGCCACTTGCTGCGAGAAGAAAGGCACTGGAAGGGAATGTAACGCGACTTCAGGCCATCCCAAAGTCGGAACCCGGCGCAACCAGATACCCTGTTGGATTCCATCCAACGCAGGTCGTAGTAAAAGCGAAAAAGATCAAGAAAAGGCTCTACCCCGATGTAGGCCTGCAAAGATGCACAAAGATGCTAAGGAAGGCGATGGAATTAGGGTTCAAATGGAGAAGAGAAAGACCATAGAAATTCAAACCAGGAGAAGAAATTCGGAAGGTGGAGGGAGAAAACCGCAAAGAACATAATCTTCGATCGCAACCATGCGACCCAAGATGGGCTGAGGATTAGTACCTCCTGCTTCCCTCTCCATGGTTCCACGGCTAGGAAGAGCGCCATCCTCCTGGAGTTTCTTCAACGTTGCACTGGTGGAAGCCGATTTACCGAGGTCCATTGCTGATCGAAGGTCGCCGGAAAACGAGCCTAGGTTGATGAACTAGGGTTTCTTGCGGCGGCAGAGAAGGCAAAGAGTGCTTGCAGGTGGTGTGTGTTTAACAGGTTTGGCGGACTTCAAAATGGACTCCCAAAATTCCTTTAAATAGGCGCACTACCGACGGTGCGAATTCCAGGGAACAGAGAGAGATGTCCGCCGGAAATTTCTGGGTCCGTTACGCGCGGCGGTTTTCTGGACTTCAGTTTAAAATTCGCTCGTGACCGTTGGGCTTCAAATGGCGTGCTCGACTACGGTCTATCTCCGCGGTCCTCGCACCGGGAATGACAACAGTCTCGACGCCCGAAGTCGCAAATGGTTGCACGAGTTCATTTTAAGCAGAAGTCGGGGGCTACTGTCAGGGTTACGGGTTAGGCATACCCTTTACATATCGATATGGCATACCCACGCGCATGCGGATATTTCCTGTATATTCTAAGGAAACCTTTCACGGAATCTACAGACGGGAAGAATCCTACTCGGGCAGAACTGGGTTGTTGGCGTATCGTATAGGGTCTGATACCTCCGAGTTCTACGTGGAGACCTCCAGATCTGCGATATAAAAAGGACCCCCCGGGGAGGGTTTAGGTATCGAATCTCAGAGCCAATACAACCTACACAGCCTACGAAGCCGGAGCTTACGAGGAGCCAAGTCATCGAGAGCTAGTCGAAACAACTCGATTACAATCTCGCCGGATCCGACAAGTTCCCTTGTTCCCTTTGTAACCTGTGTTTTCTACCATATAATCCCACATCAACTGGATTAGGGCTATTACCTATCAAGGGGCCTGAACCAGTATAATTCTTGTCTTTTGTTTACTTGATGTCGTACTACGTAGATCCTTGTACCAACGTACCCCAATACCCTCTATATCCGGTCTACGGGTATCACCCGTCGACAAAATATATATTATAAAAATATATTTAATTATCAAATATTACTATATTTTTCTATAAACTTAGTCAAACTTAAAATAGTTTGATTTTGACCAAAGTTAAAACAACTTATAATCTGAAACGGAGAGAATAATTGCACAAATATTGCAGGTGTATTTTATCAGCATACTCAATGTACACTAAGATCAAACGAGGGCAAATGGGTCATTTTCATGCCTCCTCCATGTTGGCAATTTGACATGTCCTTCTACATATGCAAAATTGGCAATTTGTAAAGATTTAATCTCTCTCCAGTGGTATTTTTGTAATTTCATCCGAAAGGAGTGGCACCTCAATAGCCTAGTTGTAAAAATCAAACCGAACTGGGAATTTTTTTTTAAAAAAAAGGAACCGATGCTTAGTCCGAATATGTAATTGACTCTAGAAAAATCATTTAAACCTGATGATTTTCTGTAGAATTGAAGAAAAATTGGGGTGGGCCTAGGATCGAACCCCCGACGGTCAAGGCTTGTAGGTTCTTTCACAACCCTACCTAACCCTTAAATATTTTCATCACGCCAAAAATATATAAAAAGTGAGCATATGGCATTTTAGACCCAAACCCTCAAATTTTCTAAGCAAAATAGTTGGGCCCGTTGCTTCCTCTACCTGCATACATGCGTGCACACCTGAATATTTGGGCTTGTTGCTACAATGGTTTTAGAAACGAAAAGAAATATATTTATGTTGATTAAACCAAAATTCTCAATAATAAAATATATTAATGTGGAGTATAATTTTATTATTTCATTGAGCCCATGGTTGAACCGGTCAATCGACGAGTCATTCACCGGTTCGAACTTCGAACACCGGTCGGGTCTTAGAAAGGCGATCCGTAGGTCGTAGAAACTGCTTCCGCCGCATTCTGGTTAGCACATCCTCCCTCCGCCACCGCCGCCTGCGCCGATCCCCATCCATCCCTCCCGCGAGCGAGCAGGGGGGCCAGGGGCGCCGTCGTTCGTCCTGCTGCTTCCGCCGCATCCATCCTGGTTAGCGCATCCTCTCTTTCCCCCATCTCTCTCTACCCACGCACTTTTTTTTTATCGAATTTGCGTTAACCCTAGCTTTCTTGTTCTAGAGATTTGCCTTTAACCTTAATACTAATAACAGTTTGTTTGTTCCCAAGAAGTGAACCCCCATGTCCCATGTTAGATCTGCCCATGGGTTTCAGGCGTAGCTACTGCTGTATGTGTAACAAGCCGCCCTCTGGTTGTTGATACTGGATGCGGTTGTTCCATGGAAAATTGAATTCGGTAGTATTTGCTTTACATATGATTTGGTTGTGAATTTAAGGCTTTAAAATTTAAATAGCACCCATAAGCCATGCTGTTATTTCCTGATATGTTGTGTTGTGATTGGACTTAATGCACAGTTTTAGTAGCAACTGGAGTAACGTTGCCAGGATTTTTACTGGGCCACATGAGCTGAGAGCTTGCTTCATGTGGTGGGAAAGTTCGTATGTGTCCATAAACTTTGCACTTGGCACCGGTGCAGAAATCCCCATGTTTGGGTCATTGATATTGCAGGCGTAGATAACCAAATTACCTGTTTATATGTTCTTTTCCTTTGCATGCCTTCCTAAAGTGCTGTGTGATTTTGAGCCACATAGCAGATATTTGGACACATAGCACTAGTCCAGCCCTTAAAGAACCGGGCATGTAACCATTATTATGTAAATTCTCAAATTATGGGACCGACAGAACTGACAGGCAAAACCACCCCATTAGCATGCAACTAACTATTCTTTGAGGATAGGTATTCAATCATATCACGGCAATGTCCCTGTGTCCTGAACTCCTAATGCCCCTTATATGCACCTAGCATTATTAGAACAAAGATAAGAGTTTATGGTTTTGTTGATCCATACGATAGAAGATCAGAGCTGACTTTGTTTACTTTATTGCTTCCTGCCAAATCAACATTGGTTCATCCAAACTGAACAGAAAGAGGTGTTTAGGAGTACATCAGTACACCATAGAACTGCATTACTATTGTGAATTTGTGATTTAATTATTGTGTAACATCAAACTTCACCAAACACATTTCTCTTTTCATACATGGAGTATGAATCATATGCACACTGGGTGGGTGCTAATTCATGTGGCCCACTCATGTTACTGGTAAATGACGTATCCAATATTGAGAACGATTTCCCCCTTCAACGTTAACTTAAAATTCGTCTTCCTATTATTTTGACTTTCGAATTGTTGTTTATTTGGTAGATTCTGCTGACTGCAAGATGAACTCTAAGCGTAGGAGGAGTCATAGTCCAGTTGAGCACTTGGAAGGCAACAATAAGGAGATTGAGATTTCTGGAAGGAAAGATGACTTAAGAGATCTAGAGAATGACTCTAGTAATGCCAGATCAGGCAGAGGTCATGAATATGTCAGGCATTCTGATAGGCATTCTTCTGGAGCACCACGTGATTCCAGGAGGCATGATGATTATAGGAGGTATCATGATAAGCGTGGTGATGACAATGACAGGGGCCATAGAATCTCTCGGTCAGAACGGGAATCAAGGTCTGACACTTATTATGATCGTACAAAGCGTGATGGCACATCTGATAGATCACGCGGTGATTGGCGAAATGATGACAAATCTTTAAGGAGAGAACACAGGAGTAAGAACCAAGATAAGCAAGAGCCATCACGTGAATATCCTAGATATGATGGAGAACATGACAAATATTCAGATGGAAAAAAACAAGGACACACTAGCAGAAGGTATCCAGAAGAAAAGGAAAGTAAGTACAAGGAGACTGCTAAGCAAGAGGAGGCCCTAAAGAAGAGAACTGGCAAGGAAATTGAAAAGATGAGTTCCGTAGCTGAACCTGAGGTGGGAACTAGGGAGAAGAGAAGTTTATTTAGTTCAGTTGGGCCAGATTTTGAAAATGCACAACTTAATGATAATGCAGACACTTCTGGGAAGAAACCTTCACTTGACTGTTCGAATGGTGAGTTGATTTTTAGATTTTGAACATTACTTTTCTGGAATCGATGTATAGTCTCACATTGAATTAGTGGAATTTTACAGGTGTAGTCTTGGATAACCCTACATCAGGATTTACTGTAAACAGTGTTGATGCAGCAAAAGTTGCAGCTATGAAAGCTGCCGAATTAGGTGAGGATCGTACTAATTTATTGCTGATGTTTTCCTTCCATTGCTGCATTATCTCCAAGACAAATACTTGTTAGATGGTTTAGTTTCTTTTGTGCATTTTCTAAACTTGATATGGGCACCTGTCAATCATGCTGTTTTGTGTATATAAAATCAAAGGCTTAATTTTGCCTGAATATTTCACTTTTAACAAAAGTGCAACAATGATACAAGAGAAAATTCATGACTTTTAATATGTTGGCCAACAATTATGTGTTATGTACTGTTGTACTTGAATCATTGATCATCATTATGTTCTCCATGGCAGTGAACAAAAACCTTGTAGGATTTGGAGTTGGTGCTGGGCGCCTGTCCACAGACCAGAAGAAAAAACTGCTTTGGGGCAACAAAAAGAGTAATCCTCCAGAGGTAAAATTTACAGAACAGTCGATTATCGTTTATCCTCTTGTTTCCATAATAACTTTATGCGTCCATACTATTCTCATACATTATGATTCTATTTAAAGTCCATTCCATATTGCTGCAGTCAAGCGCTCACTGGGACTCGAATCTGTTTCCTGACCGGGAGCGCCAAGAGAAATTCAACAAACTCATGGTAAACCCTGTTCCTCAAGTTTGCAGTAAAACAAAATTCTTTCGATGCCTTGTTTCTCTTAGCAGCAAAGTACATTTACCGTTTTTACTCTGCGACGCACTAACACTGTTTTAGAGTCTGAGGATGCCTTGGTGGCTATGGCCTATTATTGTAGGGAGTGAAGAGCAGCAGCAGCAGCTCAGCCCAGGAGAGCAAGGTCGACGGCAAGGACGGGAGCTCGTCGGATGCCAAGAAGCAGGAGGAGCTGGACACCGACCTGGAGAAGCATTACATCGCAGGCCTGCGCCGGAGAGACGGCCGGACCGTCGGTCTTGGCCTGTAGAATGCCCTGCTTACAGCATTGGAGAACTACTCTGGAGCTCGTTTTGTGCAGACATTGCTGGCATGTTTGGTACCCTTGCGTGTGAATGTTCACCTGGGTTTTCACCTGTGAAAGTGCAACTGGGTTGTTTTGTAGTAGCGCCTAAACTGCTGTTCCTGTATGATGCATTAACCACAATGAAGGGAGCAGATAAACTCACTTCCCCCATGCTATTTGCTGCTTTCAATCAAGTGCATTTTGGCAAAGACGTCAAGAGACATCAGGTTTGCGAACCAGTTTCACAAGGCCAGAATGCCTTGATTTTTATTAGCTGTTTCCATAAAGGTTAATCTAGAGTACATATGCGTGGATGCTTTGATTTTTTTAATAACAAAGTATAAAGTTGGTTGTTATGAATATATAACCAAACATTCAAAAAACATACATATTATGTATAATAAACAATAAAAAGATGCAGGAAACCGAGAGAAACAATAAGGCTGTACAGATTTTTTCTTTAAAGAAAAATAAAATTGCCCCCATGCAGGATCGAACTACAGACCTTCAGTTTACAAGACTGACGCTCTACCACTGAGCTATAGGGGCTTTTGCTTCAATTTAATTTTTAAAATTTATCTATAACTAATTAATAATAATACTCTCCCTGCCAAAATGGAGATCGCTGGGGCCGTCTATTTTTTTGCCTAGCAATCCTCGAAACCCCCAACGCCAACGCCGCCGCTTTCTCCCCTAAAGTCTACTAGTCCTCCTCGTCCTCTCCACCCTCCTCGGCGGCGGCGGCGGCAGCAGCGGCGCTTGAAGCTCGGGCTATGGCGAGCCCGCCGAGGATCGAGGTGGAGAAGCTGAGCGTGGAGCAGCTGAAGGCCCTCAAGGAGCAGACGGATCTGGAGGTGAACCTCCTCCAGGACAGCCTCACCAAGATCCGCTCCGCCGCCACCCGCCTCGAGAACGCCTCCGCCGCGCTCCACGACCTCTCCCTCCGCCCCAAAGGCACCACCACCACCACGCGCCTCCCTCCCTCCGCTCTTCGTTCTCTCGTTTGATTTTGATTTTGGGGTTTAACCTTGGCTTTTGGTTTGGTTGTCGCCGCGCAGGGAAGAAGATGCTCGTGCCGCTCACGGCGTCGCTGTACGTGCCCGGCACGCTGGACGACTCCGAGAAGGTGCTCGTCGACGTCGGCACCGGCTACTTCATCGAGGTATCCCACCTTGGGTCGCAACAGTTGCGGCTCTGTTTAGACTTTTGGACACTTGCATATGGTTGGTCTATGTTAAATGTGTTTAGTTTGGTAGATTAACAACGCTATAAGGTTTCTCCGGTAGTATAAATAGTTGAATTCTCTGTTGAAAGAAATCTGGTAGTGTGAATCGGAATGATGATACTCGTCGATCCTACAAAACGATGTGTTTGGTTGGGTTGCGGCAACATTGTGACATTCAGAAAGACTTAATAATCAGTGGATCAGCTTCAATTTTCCATAGAAGCACCTCGTTTTCATGAATCTTTGATGAACTGATCCATGTAGGGGCAGAGACAAGGGGGCGGCCAGCAGTGGCTTGCCCTCCCCATAGTTTCAATCTTTGCATTGTATTTACTGGAGTTCTAGCAAAATATGAAAAAAGTAACACTATTGGCCCTAGGGGTGTAAGTGGGTCAGCCGCAAACCCACTTATAGGTCAAAATAAGCGGGTTTGCGGCTTATTTTGGCCTATAAGTGGGTTTCGTGGGTTAGCCATTTGGCCCCCTTCAACAAGATTTTTTATAGTGTTTCTGGCTCTGCGCTGGATCATCGTTTTGGTTTCTTCCCCCTGTTTAATTGGGCCTTGGCAGAGGATAAATGTGAAAATTAACTGTTTGGCACTTAATAGGCGTGGCTTTAACATCTGCCACTCTATAGATGCCAATTACTTGTTCTACATGGCGTCATGTATTCCTGACTGGAGGAAGTAATTATTTGCCACTCAATAGATATACACTCTTAATAACATACCCTGCTACTATATTCTTTGCAAATTTCCCCCTGAACACCAAACCTACCTATTGCATTCCTGTTTTACCACGCACGGTCTAATCACGTCGGATTTTATTTATTCAAGATCTTGAATCAATGGCGAAATATATTCTAACTTGAAATCTTATGTGCTCTAATCAATCATCTTGCACACAGCTGTTAAGTTGTTGTGATCTAATGTGTGCAACAGATCAAATATTTGCTAGCTAGCTACTGACCACTTATGGAGATCAATGATAAGGCACAGGATTTGTCACTTCGAATATAATGTTGGATAAGTCTTTGTGGTCCTTGGTCGTGATTCTTCCTTTTGCTTTTGGGTAGTTTCACCTTTTTCAGGACAACATCTACCCTTTAGCATATTTTTCAGTTGCTAGGACAGCTGCGGTTAGTAGGACAGCAGCAGTTAGCATCTCCTTTATGCCTCCTTTATGCTTTATTCAGTTTGGATGCCCTCTAGGACAGCATCCCATTCAAATTTCGAATTTTAGACTAGGAGGGTGCAGCAATAGGCTAGCAGCCAGCTATGGCTATATATATGTATCCAACCTCCCTCGGGTAGGTATGGCTTTTGTGTTTTGTGAATGAAGAAAACCAGAAAATTGCCCCATCTCGAGTGCCATCCTCTTCTCAATGAGAGTAACCATTAAAATTCTAACATCAGCTGCCCCATCTCGAGTGCCATCCTCTTCTCAATGAGAGTAACCATTGAAATTCTAACATCTGGTATCAGAGCCACACTTTCCTGTAGGCTAAACATCTCTTGTTCCACCCCTTCCCAAGCTCGGTTGAGCTCTCAGCCAGCAGCAGCAGCAGCACCGGTTGCTCCTCCTTCCCCTTTCCCTTCCCCCTCTCCACGCAGCAGCCCCTCGAAGGTGCGCCATGTCCGACGCTCGGTCTCGGCGTTCGGTCGCCTCGAGCACTCGGCGTCAGCAGGACGCCGAGCTCGCCGCAGCAGAAGAGCGCAGGCGAGCAACGGGTCAGACCGCTGCAGCAGCAGCGAGGGCGGCCAGACTGGCGGCAGCCGAGTTGGCAGCAGCCAGGGCGGAGGCGGAGGCGGAGGCGGCGGAAGATGCGGCACGTGCGGCGGAGGTAGAGGTTGAGACCTTGCGCAGCAGCATCAACGGCTCCATCGCCGGCGACATCACCGCCGACAGGGAGCTTGAGGAGCTGGCAAGAGGAAGGGCACGGGAGCGGGCAGAGCGGTGGGCAGTAGCCCACCTCCACGGCGGCGGCGGCGGCCCAAGGGACCGCGCGCCCGCCGACGGGAACCCAGACGGGCGCGGGCGTGCCGGCGGCAGCCCGGAGCCCGCACGCGGCCCTCGCAGGCAGCGTGGCTCTCTCTCCCCTGACCGGCGTCATGGTCACCACGGCGTCCAGACGGTGGTCAGGGACTTTGGTCCCGGCGGTGGGTGGCCTACCCTCAACAAAACCAACTACATCGAGTGGGCCGCGGTGATGAGGGTGAGGCTCCAGGTGCGGCACATGTGGGAGGCAGTCCGGTACGGTGACGTCGACTACGACGAGGATCGGCGGGCACTGGATGCCCTCATCGCTGCAGTCCCGCCTGAGATGCAGTTCTCGCTTTCCCAGAAGCGGACTGCCAAGGAGGCCTGGGACGCCATCGCTGCGGCACGCATCGGCAGCGACCGCGCCAGCAAGTCCACACTGCAGGCACTCCGCAAGGAGTAGGAGAACCTGGCCTTCAAGCCAGGTGAGGATGTTGATGACTTTGCTCTCCGTCTCAACACTCTCTTGCAGAAAATGGTGCAGTACGGCGACGACACCTACGACGAGGAGAGAGCTGTCGAGAAGCTCTTCCGCTGCGTCCCTGAGAAGTACAGGCAGATCGCTCGCTCGATCGAATCTCTGCTGGACCTCTCCACGATGTCGATCGAGGAGGCGTTAGGTCGCCTCAAGGTCGTCGATGGTGATGAGCTACAGCCTCTCTCAGGGCCCATCACCATCGGCGGGAAGCTCCATCTCACTCGGAAGCAGTGGGAGGCCTCTCAGGGTGACGGGAGGAAGGGGGAGTCATCTTCCCCGACAGGCGGCCGTAAGCCGCGCAAGGCGCGGGGAGGTGTCCAGCTACGGTGGGTGCGAAGACGTGCCGAGGGTGGCGCCTGCAAAGGCGCCCAGGGCGTTGCCACCGGCAACCACAAGCCGGCACGAGACGACGCCTGCCGCAACTGTGGCAAGCTTGGCCATTGGGCCAAAGACTGTCGACAGCCACGACGCGGCCAGGCCCACGTCGCACGGGTGGAGGAGGAAGAGCCGGCTCTGCTCCTGGCTCACGCAAGCATCGAGCTACCTCCAGCGGCACCGGCCGCAGCGGCTTTCCTCCACCTTGATGAGCCGAAGGTACTCGTCTCCCTCTGCAACGGCTCCAGCAACGACAAGGCTGATGGGTGGTACCTCGACACCGGAGCCACCCATCACATGACCGGCCGACGGGAGTTCTTCACCGAGTTCAACTCCAGCGTCCGAGGCTCCGTCAAGTTCGGGGACGCCTCCGGCGTGGAGATCAAGGGTGTTGGCTCCGTCACCTTCACCGCCAAGTCCGGTGAGCACAGGCTGCTCACCGGAGTCTACTACATCCCCGCGTTGAGGAATTCTATCATCAGCGTGGGACAGCTGGATGAGAACGGCTCACGCGTGTTGGTCGAGGACGGACTCATGAGGATTTGGGATCGCCGTCGTCGCCTTCTTGCCAAGGTAACCAGAGGCACTAATCGACTCTAAATCCTCAGCGCGCAGGTCGCACAACCAGTTTGCCTCGCCGCTCGTCGGGACGACGAGGCGTGGCAGTGGCACGAGCGCTTCGGGCACCTCCACTTCGAGGCCCTGAAGCAGCTCAGTGCCAAGGAGATGGTGCGAGGCATGCCGTGCCTTGACCACGTGGAGCAGCTCTGCGACGTCTGCGTGGTGACGAAGCAGCGGCGGCTCCCCTTTCCCCAGCAGACGAGCTTCCGAGCCAAGGAGCGGCTCGAGCTCGTGCACGGGGACTTGTGTGGCCCAATGACACCGGCCACACCAGGAGGACGACGTTACTTCTTGCTGCTCGTCGACGACCTCTCCCGCTACATGTGGGTGATGGTCCTCGGCAGCAAGGGAGAGGCTGCAGACGCCATCAGGCATGCGCAGGCTGCTGTAGAGGCGGAGTGCGGCCGCAAGCTGCGCGTGCTGCGCACCAACAACGGCGGCGAATTCACAGCGGCTGAATTCGCGTCGTACTGCGCTGATGAGGGCATTCAACGCCACTACACGCCGTACAGCCCGCAGCAGAACGACGTCGTCGAGTGGCGCAACCAGACGGTTGTGGGGATGGCTCAGGCCCTCCTCAAGCAGAGGGGGATGCCGGCCATCTTCTGGGGGGAGGCGGTGGTGACGGCCGCCTACATCCTCAACCGCTCACCTACCAAGGCCCTCGATGGCAGGACACCGTACGAGGCTTGGCATGGGCGCAAGCCGGCGGTCTCCCACCTGCGGGTCTTCGGCTGCCTCGCGTTCGCCAAGGAGCTTGGCCACATCGGCAAGCTCGACGACAGGAGCACCCCAGGGGTGTTCATCGGCTACGCGGAGGGCTCGAAGGCCTACCGCATCCTCGACCCGGAGACACAGCGTGTGCGCACTGCGCGCGACGTTGTGTTCGACGAAGGGCGAGGGTGGGTATGGGACAAGGCGGTGGACGATGGTTCGACTCCGACGTACGATGACTTCACCGTCGAGTACGTCCACTTTGAGGGAGCTGGGGGAGTAGGCAGCTCTTCTTCACCAAGCGTGTCTACCGCAGCCCCCGAATCTCCACCGACTCTGACACCAACACACCCTTGGGCCACGACTTCGACTACGACGAGCTCTTCGTCGACAACACCCCAGCCAGTGACTCCACATGCTCCAGCACCAACAGCCACTCCTCCAAGCACGTCTACTCCGACGCCAGCTCGTGTTGAGCGCAGCCCGGTGGAGTTCGCTACTCCGCTCTCCCACGACGGGGAGCGCATCGACGCGTACCACGACGGCGAGCAACTACAGTACCGTACGATGGAGGATCTTCTCGGTGACCAGCCAGTGCCGGGACTGGTGCCTCGCGACCTAGAGGCGTAGTTGCACCTTGCGTGCGACGACGGTAAGCCTCGGTCTTTTGCAGAGGCCGAGAAACACGCGGCATGGCGTGCCGCGATGCAGTCGGAGATGGACGCGGTTCAGGAGAACCGCACCTGGGAGCTTGCTGACCTCCCTCGTGGTCACCGCGCGATCACCCTTAAGTGGGTGTTCAAGCTGAAGAGGGATGAAGCCGGAGCCATCGTCAAGCACAAGACTCACTTGGTGGCACGCGGTTTCGTGCAGCAGGAGGGGATCGACTACGACGATGCCTTCGCTCCCGTGGCACGGATGGAGTCCGTGCGACTCCTTGCGCTGGCTGCTCAGGAAGGCTGGGGCGTCCATCACATGGACGTCAAGTTGGCGTTTCTGAACGGCGACTTGAAGGAGGAGGTCTACGTGCACCAGCCGCCGGGATTTGTGATCCCCGGCAAGGAGGGCAAGGTACTACGCCTGCACAAGGCCCTCTACGGCTTGCGGCAGGCACTGAGGGCGTGGAATGCCAAGTTGGATTCTACACTCAAGGGGATGGGCTTCGAGCAAAGCCCGCACGAGGCAGCTATCTACCGGCGGGGCAATGGAGGAAATGCCTTGCTAGTGGGTGTCTACGTCGACGACTTGGTGATCACCGGCACCAAGGATGCGGAGGTCGCGGCGTTCAAGGAGGAGATGAAGGCCACCTTCCAGATGAGTGATCTGGGGCCTCTCTCCTTCTACCTGGGGATCAAAGTGCACCAGGACGACTCTGGGATCACGCTTCGACAGACCGCCTACGCCAAGCGCGTCGTTGAGCTGGCTGGGCTCACCGATTGCAACCCAACTCTCACTCCGATGGAGGAGAGACTGAAGCTGAGCCGCGACAGCATGGCGGAGGAGGTGGATGCTACATAGTACCGGCGTCTTGTGGGGAGCCTTCGCTACCTCACCCACACACGGCCGGACTTGGCCTTCTCCGTCGGCTACGTCAGTCGGTTCATGCAGTGACCGACGACGGAGCACCAGCAGGCTGTGAAGAGGATCATCCGCTACGTTGCGGGGACTCTCGACCACGGTCTCTACTACCCGAGGTGTCCTGGCAAGGCACACTTCATTGGGTACAGCGACAGCGACCACGCCGGCGACATCGACACCAGCAAGAGCACGAGCGGGATTCTCTTCTTCCTCGGCAAGTGCCTCGTTAGCTGGCAGTCGGTCAAGCAGCAGGTGGTGGCCCTATCCAGCTGCGAGGCCGAGTACATGGCGGCCTCCGCCGCTTCGACCCAGGCGCTCTGGCTTGCTCGACTGCTTAGTGATCTCCTCGGCAGAGACACTGGAACGGTGGAGCTCAGGGTGGATAGCAAGTCCGCTCTGGCCCTGGCAAAGAACCCCGTTTTTCACGAACGGAGCAAGCACATCTGGGTGAGGTACCACTTTATCCGAAGCTACTTGGAGGAAGGGAGCATCAAGGCGAGCTACATCAACACCAAGGACCAACTTGCGGACTTGCTCACCAAGCCTCTTGGGAGGATCAAGTTCCTCGAGCTCTGCTCCAGGATCGGGATGGCCCAACTTCCCCACAAGACGACGCACAAGACTTAGGGGGAGAATGTTGGATAAGTCTTTGTGGTTCTTGGTCGTGATTCTTCTTTTTGCTTTTAGGTAGTTTCACCTTTTTCAGGACAGCATGTACCCTTTAGCATATTTTTCAGTTGCTAGGACAGCTGCGGTTAGTAGGACAGCAGCAGTTAGCATCTCCTTTATGCCTCCTTTATGCTTTATTCAGTTTGGATGCCCTCTAGGACAGCATCCCATTCAAATTTCGAATTTTAGACTAGGAGGGTGCAGCAATAGGCTAGCAGCCAGCTATGGCTATATATATGTATCCAACCTCCCTCGGGTAGGTATGGCTTTTGTGTTTTGTGAATGAAGAAAACCAGAAAATTGCCCCATCTCGAGTGCCATCCTCTTCTCAATGAGAGTAACCATTGAAATTCTAACATCAGCTGCCCCATCTCGAGTGCCATCCTCTTCTCAATGAGAGTAACCATTGAAATTTTAACATATAAATATAGAATCTCGCTTAGCTTTGGTTCTCCTCTTTGATCAATAGCAGTGGAACCAATCATGGCGAGGACGGAGGTGTCAGTGCTGAGGTCTAGTACAACATGCCCAGCCAGCGGTGGTGACAATGAGCAAGGGCGTGAGACAGGGGCAGAGAGATCTATGCTGGTGGTTCTGGCGGTGAACCAGGCGCGGTCCAGTGTTGGCTACCTGATATGGTCTGGTTGAGGTGGTCCAACAAGACCAGGTGTGGTTGCCGTTAGGGAGGGAGGGGTAAAACAGGATGCAGAATAGTGGGAGAGTTGCAAAGGAAATGGCTAAAATGACGTTTTAAGTGTGAATGTCTACTGAGTGGCAAATAATTAATTGGCATATGTAGAATGGTAAATAGTAGAGGTCTAGAGGATAAAGGATGGATCACCTGCAGATCTTTTCCAAAACTATGCGAAGCCATAATTTCTTTAGGGCAAGCCTGAGATATCTAGCATAACAATGGTCAAATTGCAGCATATCCCTTTACTATTAGTAACAAGTAAATAGTCTGTTAGATATGAGAAATTAGTGATATTAAAGCCACGTATATTGAGCGGAAAATCGTTAATTATTTCCTAAATTGTTCTAAATTCTTCCTATGTAAATGATCCCCCCCTCCCCCTCTTTGATTTTTAGTGTAAATGGTTTTCTTTTAACTCTTCTGCAATCTAGAGTGACGCGGCACTCAAAGTAAACCATGTGCACTTGAATGATGCTGCAACTTTTTGTTTGTACTTTTGCTGCCTTTTGTGTACAGCATACTTATGTTTTTTTTCCTGTGCAGAAAACTATGACTGAAGGCAAAGAATACTGTGAAAGGAAAATTAATTTGCTGAAGTCTAATTTTGATGAACTAGTTGAGGTATGCTATTGACTTGTCACCAAATTGAACTGTTCCTTGTATTTGTATATTTACCATTTTTATTCCATCTGAAGGATAAATGCTTTATCTTTCATGTTGTTTTTGAAATGTTTGAAACTCTGAATTGCATGAATTTTAGAGGATTTTTGCAGTAATTTTGCATAAATAGTTCAATTCCCATGGGCAAGTGGTCCTATTGTGGCCTAACTGAATAGAAACACTCAGGATGCCAACATTGACAGGTTCACTTTTACTTGAGTAACTTTTGTTATTCATTCCATGCAAGGTAGAAATGGTTTGATGGCATGAAATTAATAGGAAAACAAAATTATATTTCCATCCATGTATGCTCTGAACATGCAAGTCTTTTGATTGGTTCATCCTATCTGGTCACCAGATTCTTCTCATGCTTTACTTATACTGGTATACCAATATCATTTTGGGATTCGTATAAACCAGTTCTGTGCCACCAGATCACCACCCACCACCAGACTAGCCTTGCAGACTGTCACTGGCCAAGTTGGATGCCGAAATGGAATTCAGTGCCTAACACAATTAATTAGTGTTAGCCTTTCTGATTATATTATCATTAGTATTTGCATAAAGATATCAATGCAACCCACTAGGCATCACAAGAAACACACAAATGGTTTGAAGGTTCATTTACCAAAAGTCAAAATTTCTTATTGCCAAATGTCAAGGCTATTATAGGTACATGTTTGGTCAATTCTAGCATGTAAAATACTGAAATGTGCTATGATATGGTGGAAGGTAGCATAAACTTCCTACTTTGTGGGACACATGACTATATTAACATATTTGCTTCTCTTGTCTGCCGATGCTTTATTTTGTGACGATTTCTTTAAGACATTAAGTAGGTTGTCTCTATGGTTAGTAACAGGATTATCCTGTAACATATGAACATTCTACATTTACTTGCAGATGGCTACGAAGAAGAAAAACATAGCCGACGAAATGGGTCGGCTTCTACAAGCCAAGCTGAGGCAGTCATCGCCGAGCCCGAGTTCATGAGACCCGACCGCACCTCCTGTCTCCACCTTGTTAGATGGCCAGGTTGAGTAGTTTGTGGCATCTATCTAGCCAACATAGAAAATTTTTAGCTGCTGCTCTGGTCGTGTGTCTGTGCAAAGGCAACCGGTTCACTTCCATGGTTTACTGAAAGAACCTGCCTCATCAGGTTAGCCCAGAAGCCGGTGTTGAACACGCAAATTTTATTGGCTCAAGTCGCAGGTAGCCGAATTGTGATAATCATTTGTGTGGTTGTTAAATCAGAATGGCTGATTTCATTAGACATTTTGCTGCTGTTCCCTGTTTCTGGAAGACGATATTTTAGCCATCTTTCTATGTGATGAACTGACCTTGTTGGGACTGTACAACATTGCCCCCACTCTTTTTTCCAGTCCGGCTAACGCCATATGTTTACTAAAGTTACTAAAATCAAATAATAATTGAGTGTGTTCGTTAGTACTCATGTTTTGGTGCAAATGCAACACGAAATACTTCCGAAAATTTCTGGGGATTAAACGTCATTGTTTACAATGCTTATTAGCAACTTTAAACAATAATTTATAAATGAAACTTTTTATGTGTTTTTAACAACTTAAAAATATAATACTAAAAATAAATTATGATGAAAAAACATCAAAATTAATTTTAAATTTAAGTTTTAAAATTTAACATTTGGTTAAGACAATGAATTCAAACGAGTAAAAAGTAACAGTCCAATGCATAGTAACACATGGGCCCAACCAAAGGGCCAATAGTAGGCCCAACTATTCATGGGCCCACATGAGGCCCAACTATTCATGGGCCTAACTGTGGCTCAATTTGAAAAGCCGTCCCAGTGCGCGGACGCAGAACGGGAACGTGCGAACCAGATCGCGGTCGCGGCCTCCCCGCTGTTCTTCTTCTTCTTCCCCCATCCTCTCGAGCGAGCTACGCGTCGGATGTATGGCGCTAGACAAAAAATCGGACGTCTCGCGCGAGATCCATGCATGCACGCGTAAGCCATCCATAATGTATAAATCAAGCAACTCTAAACTATTTTTTCTCTTAAATTATTTATCCAAATCATGATCCGATTGCATCATTAAATTCGTTGTAATTAAATCTTTAAAACAAGACCACACATGGATATATTCCGATGAAAAAAAAAAGCTTATTATTGAATTATTTTTAAATGTTGCACGCTGTTGCGCCAAGTATATCGGAATTGTTTCACTAAGTAGATCGAACATGTTTCATTGGAAAGGATGTTTCAATTCACTGCAATATTTGATCCATAGATAATGAAACATCACGAATACACTAGATGAAACATTTTTGGTGGAACAAAAAATGAAATGGATTCCCTTAATAGATGGTTTCCATAATATGTGGGTGATTTGTTGCAAAAGTTTGTTTTAATTCAATGCAACATTTGATTCGTACATAGTGAAATATTGTGAGTACAATATGTGAAACATTTTTTGTGGAAGCGTGTGGACACGTGGTGGGCCCTGGGCCTGCGCGCGCGTCGGGAGGGGGGCGGTGGAGCATCCGATTCCGCCCCCCCCCCCCACCCGGACGCACGATCTGGGGCATTCTTCGCATGTGTAGGCATCTAGATCGTTCAATTCTCTCTGCCAAATAGTGTTGACAAGTGCAACACAATAAAATGCTTGTTGAAACATTTTGCTCCTATGCATGAAACATCAAATCTAAACAATAGAAACATATATATATATATTATTAGAATATAGTCAAATGAGATGTCGTTGTAAAGATTTAATTATAAGAAACATAACAGTATAATAAAAATCATAGGTTAGATAAATTGTTTAGAAGAAAAATCATTTTAAACGAGGAGGTGTGAGAGATAAAAAGGTAATAGTTGGTCACGTCATATCCATTGCATGCAGCTCATCATGTCACGTCCTTACATGCTTTGTTGCATGCTGCCATTATCTCCAGTTCTCCACCGTAAATAATTCATTCACATGCTACATTTTGCTCGCTATGACCGAGCGTCCGATTTTTCTTGGGCGTCGGACGTCTGATAAGAAGCATTTTCGCCATCCTCTCGCTTCGTCTCCTTCTCGGACAAGCCTCCTCCACTCCCGGCCTCCCGATCGATCGCGACTAGTTCCAAGCAGAGATCATCAGCAGCAGGTGGGGGCCGACCGCCTTAGCTCCCCCTCCCCGCCGCCTGGTTCTCATCTGGCGTGGTATGCGTTGAGATTTTGAGTAATTTGCACCGCTGTGACCGACTAGGGCTTTTTTTTTGATGATTTTTCTCTGATTCCGTTGATGGAGAGGCGCGATGTGTTGGGGATTGGGGAGGAGCACCTTCCTTTTTACGGATGGGAAAGTAATTGCGCTATCCCCATTGCGAGATTTGCAGGCATTATCCCCATTGCGGAATTTGCAGTGGTTGTTTTTTTGTTGTTGTTGTTGTTTTGATCATTTGTTGGTACAACTAAGAGGAAATGTGACCGCAGCAACTTGTAGCAGCGGCATGGTGGTCGTCCATGGACAGCGGGCTGAAGACTCGTTTGGTGGGTTTTTCTCCTTCGATGAGGACGCTGCCAGGTACTACAATCCCAGTTGCTTTGGAGTAATAATATGTATTGTAGTTCACTGCAATTCTAGTTTTACTTCTTTTTTTTTTTCAATATAAATTGCTTGGAATAAATTGGTGTAAATGACCATACATGCAAAAATGCTTTAATCTCCAAAGGGTAATTCTGTGGAGCTTATATTAATGCATGTAAGTGGCATTTAGCCTTAAGGTCTATCACCAAGAGAAATCGATTCTAGTACATAATTAGTACCTCTTTCTCCTGTAATCTACATTTTCTGTAGTTGAAGTTTCCTCTAACTGTTGGCTGTTTGTTGGAACAAATATAACAGTGAGGATATGTCATTGGATGGTTTGGATGAGGAACTTGAAGAGCACAAGGATTATGATGTAAGTTTAATGGCCTTTGATATTTCTCCATCTCCATCTGAGTATGAGAGATAACTGTATAGTTACCATACTTTGGACCCGGCGAGAGTTACCATACTTTGCTCAGTGCTCACATTAGCATGCTAGCTTCAGTCGCTTGTTTCTGAGTATGAGAAATAGATGTATAGTTACCATATGTCCTGCTGGATATAAAGTACTTATTGTGTCATCCTTAGATATTATTTGATCATTTGTTCCTGTAGACACATTTATTAGTAGCCACACCTTCCAACAAAATTATGTGTGGTATTTTAAGGTAAAGAAGTTAGTAATCCTGCACCTTGTTTATTAAATACCTAAATTTAACCCTTAGCTCAATTTCAACATACAATTCCATGAAAATTCTTTTTCCATATGCAATCATATCAAATACAATATTCTTCTCTGTGTTCTCCAGGTATTGATAAGTATTCTAGCGAATGGTGAAAAACAGAGAGATATGGCAACCTTGGTTGAAGGCAACCTAGGCCATGCTGAACAGGATCTGATTCAAGTATGTGTTTCTGAAATCTAAGCATGTGTTTGTATGTCTGTACGTGTGAATTGTGACTTACTTATGGCTACCTTCTATTCAGTAATTGTGTGACATATCTAAAGGGAAATGATCGCACTATGATTACATCACTGTTTGTTTTTTCACCACTGAGATAACCGAACTGTGATATATTGCATATTTCAATTCCTCATTTATGATCTTTTATACATGGATATTTGCATAGAGACATCTATGTCTTAGATATGTGTCTTTACTTCTACAGGATTATGTTGAAGATAGTGACAACCTGGTATTATTGCATGATCAGATTCATGACTGTGACATTATTTTGTCACAGATAGGATCACTTCTTACTGGATTCCAGGTATAGTCTTGATTACATGTTTAGTAAGTGTATAATAAATGAAAAAAGAGTTATTTATGTGACTAACGCTAGGTTTGTGTGGTATGTTTTTGGATATATGAAGTCCTTGTGCATTTGTATGATAAAGCAGTGCTTCATTATTTTTTCAAAGATCATAAAGCTAGAATTGTTTAGTCAAAGTTGCCTCTTAAAACTGATAGCTTGTTAGTCTGGTTTACTTGGTCATACTTGCGACACATTTACATAATCATGTTTACGGCATTACACTATATTATGGCCTAGAATACAGGGAGTCAGGAATCCAACTGTCACTAAAATACTTCTGAGTCAAATGCCATTTCTTCACGGGTTATTTCATTTTCCTTTTGCTACACTAGGAACTTCTGATTGACTTGAGAGAGTGCCATTTCTTTACGGATTACTTAATTTTCTTTTGTTATGCTAGGAAATACAAGTTCAATGGTATCTAGAATGAGCTTGCCACTACAATAAAATCACTGCAATATGTGTTAATAATTCACCTTGCAGGTTCACATTGGTTCCATTAACTCAGAACTAAGAAGTCTCCAGGAGAGATCCTTGGATATAAGTGTCAGACTGAAGAACCGCAAGGTACGAACAATCCTATATGGGCACCCTAGGACAAAATACTGTATTTCATTTGTGAAAAAACACTTGGTGTCTTGGGGGATGGCCGTCCGCATTACAAATATAGATTGAATCCAACATGTTTCGATGCTTCAAAACTTCCCAAATAAATAACGAGTATTCTAATATTTAAAAAACCTGCAAAAAGTCAATTTCATATTCATCCTACATGTAAAGATCCAAAAAGATAAGTTATACTGCTAGTGTATGATAAACAATCCCAATTGATTGCTTTTTTTTTAATATTTCTGGGTATCTAGAGAGAATTTTACATTCAGTTTTTGCAGGTTTGTATAAATTATGTGTCTACACTCGCACATTTTTTAGGAATTATTTAATCATTGCAACGTGCTGAATTCGATAGGGGACCTGGGCACCCATGGGCACAAAGCTGCATTCATTAATTTGTTGAGAATAATTAGCTCAGGAATAGCTAGAATTGGCTTAGAAATTCAGTTGATCTTTTTTGCTTAGACATTGAGTAATAAACTCCCGGTTAAGCATATTTGATGAATTGATGTGGTTTAGCTTTGATGATTGTTTGCTAAATACAATGTGCTTACTGAGCTTAAATGTACAGTTGGTTGAGACAAAGCTTGCAAAATTTGTCGAAGAGATTGTTGCTCCTCCTAGTTTGGTGACTGTTATTATCGATGGAGAGGTAAACATTGGACAAATGACTTTGTTACTGTGGTTTTGCAGTATGATAGGTTCCATTTGAATGTTGCTTGCATACCACAAGTAGAAGTACTCCTTCCGTCTCAAAATATAAGGGATTTTGGTGGGATGTGACATATCTTCCTGTTCAGATTCATAATACTAGGATGTGTCACATCCCACAAAAATCCCTTATATTATGGGACGGAGGGAGTAATACATAGTAAAGATAGTATCACTTGCATATTAAGCACACAGACATTTTGTCAAAACGTGGCATGTAGGTAATGGCTACTTGCTTTAATTGTACACGATTGTCCAAGGAGCACAATATTAGCAACATCCCTTCAATTTCTAGAAAGATTCCATGTTATTTAGTTCTCATCAAATTACTGTAGTTCTTCCAAATTGTTGTGTGTTGTATTATCCATTTATTCTGCTGTTTTAGATATGCATTAAAACGCCAGGTACTTGTTCAAAAAGGCTTTATCCCTGAATTGTAAATATGCTAGTTCAAATGACTTGTTATTCTAGTTTATTTTTCCAGATAAATGATGGTTATGCTAAAAGTTTGGAAATTTTGAGCAAAAAGTTGAGATTTTCTCAAGTTGATCCTATGATTAATGCATCAAATTCTCTGAAGGATATTAAACCAGAACTGGAAAGGCTTCTACAAAAGGCATTATGCAAGGTTACCTCAGGAACACACTCTTGGGTTGCTTTATTGTGCCCAGAGTTAATAGAAATCTGTTTGCATTCATCATAATTTATGCCTGTTATGCACTGCTTACGTTATGATGCTTCTCACTCTTTTTTCTATCTCATTTACCTTTTCAGGTGTCCGACTATCTCACTGAATTATTCTTTTCCATGAGAAAGCCTGGAACTAATATCCAGATACTGCAACAAAATATGGTTCAAAAATATAGGTACACACGATGGGAACTCTTCTTCTAGACAGACAAGTATGAATTATCTTTTGTGCTATTAACCAGTGGCGGACGCAGCTTTAAAATATAGATGGTGCAGAGAGCGGAGATGTTCACTCAATAAGAGCAATCAAACATAATACATATCGTATTGGTAGTTCATTCACATAACTGCCTCAATTTTTTAGGTGTTCACACTTTGTTATACCTAATTTTAATGGCCCATTACTACTATAAGGGGGTAAGGGGGTCTTGAGAGTGTGGGGTGACACGAGTTGTAGCTGAGTCGGTCGACCCACCCTGCCTAATGGGTAGATCCGCCCCTGCTATTAACGTTGTTTCCGGTCATATGAAGAATCTCATTGACGGTCTTCAATGCTTGTCTCATACTTTTCCTTTTGATAGAACTGTACTGTTACACCATGGAGCTTTCAAGCATTTTATCCTTTAATTATTTAATGAGTCATTTTCATGCTTCAGATCTGAAACTAATGGGATAGTAGGGAAAACAATCTAAGATAAACTCATTAAACAAATTAAAACAGTACAAATGACACCTGCTGCAATGAATGCTAACATTTCTATTGTCGTCAAAATTTGTTTTTTTTTTCAGACGGTCATATCACAGTTCCCTCTGCATTTTTTGTTTATTTACTACAGAAGCAAATTGTTGCTGAAATGGTTTCAGGTATCTCATCCTCTTTCTTAGAGAGCATGGATCCAAGGTCTACACTGATGTTCGTGCAACATATGCTGATACAATGAACAAGGTAATGCCCTGTGATTTTCCACGGCTACAGGAACGGGTAAGGAATTTGACTAGAGTTTTTCAAAAATCGAGATGTCTCTGGTGTCGGCTTGTGTTGTTAGGTACCTGGAGATCACAGATATGTTGAACAACATTACCTTAGTGGCTGCACCACTGGAAGCCTGGAAAAACTAGTTGGAGACAAACTAAGAGTTCCTTTGTTTTTCATGTTTTTTTTTGTGTGTGTGTGCATTGACTTAAAACTAAAACTTCTATGTTGGTGGTTTGCATGGCAGAACTGCAGCTAGCCTAGCCATCACTTATTGTCCTTCTGCAATCCCTCAATATGTTCGCTGCTCTTTTCTGCTTTGGTATCAATGTGTCAATGAAAGTGATGTAAGGAGACTTCTAAAAGTACACCGTCATCTAATCTACTAGTACGATCATAAGCCTGTTACAAGTTGGTGAATTGTTAGAACTGTGCATTCATTTGCATCACAACAACATATTGGATTAACGAGATCCTTTGGTTCTAAAATTGTAGATAATCGTGAATTCCAACATATTAAAGAAGGATAATCAAATCAGTACTTGATGCATTACCCTTGTATCAGTGGGTAAATTGGTCATGTCTATCTGCTTCTGTCAAATCCATTGCAATTTACTAGAACTTTGCTGCATCAGTTGTTAAGTTAGTTGGTCATGATCTTTGAGTCCTCAGCTGTTTTGCATTTGCCTTCTTGTGTTTTTGTCAAGGTAGGTGCTGAGTGCACATTTTCAAGTGTACATAGAAGCATTGGAGAAGCTCAAGCTTGACATTGGCGTATCAAGTGATTTGACTGGATATGACACTAATATCATTGACCTTATATCAAGGGGAAGAGAGCATTTAAGAAATCACCGTTTCATGTTTTCTTTAGGTGAACGGGCAAGCATTTTGAAGGTACATCAATATGGTACAGTGTATGTTGATTAACAAGTTTACCTAGATGCAGACACACGTGTTGGAATCCAAGTCAGTTTCATGTCCAATGTAAAAAAAAATAGACATATGAAATACTACTCAAAATACAGAATGGGTGTCGGAAATCCGACTTGAATTCATGGTATCCTATCTGGCAAAAAACAATTTGTACAAGGGTATCTTGGTCACCTGGGTGGAATATTTCATCCTCATCTGTATTCTATTTACAGAAGCTTTATGATTTTTTTTCAAATGCAAATTACTGCATCATGCTGAGCTAGGCCTCTGGGCTTTATTAAGGAGTTCTATTTATAGATCTTGTATGTCTCATTTTTCAGGAGATTGATCGACCTGGCTTGGTTCCTCATATATCTGAAGTCAATCCTGTAAAATACCCATATGAAGTTATTTTTAGGAGTATACAGAAGCTTCTGATGGACACTGCTAGCTCTGAGTAGCCACTTAACTGATCTGCAATCAAATACCGAGTATGGTCATATTACTAACAGTTTCCTTTTAAACATATTTTCCAGGTATCTTTTTATCAAGGCATTCTTTGGTGAAGAATCATTGTTTTATCAGGTTTTTCAAGGTAACCATTTATTGTTTATGTTTTGTTTGAATTTTCTTAATTTGTTTAGAGGAGACATTTTTTTTATTTCATTAGGGGCATAAGCCTCAGTGGCTTCTTTCAAACATTAAACGTTCTGGAAACACCTTCCCACAAAACAGAACAGAATCAGTTAATCAATATATGATGAGTAATCATAAGAGTCTAAAGAAACTATATAAAGAAGTTTTGAACACAAATTATATAAAGAAGTAAACAATTTGCTATATCTGAAATACATGCGAGCCTTCATTCATTTCTCCCTGCTCTTAGGATTGATTGTCTCGGTAAGAATATTGTGCACCAAATTGCTGAAGAAATGTTCCTGTTATTTACAATGGCACATTTTCATTTTATTTCATGTTTCCTACACACAAACAAAAAAACTGCCAAAGTAGCTTTAATGTTTCTTTCAATTGACTAATTTCGAAACTGTGCATCTGATGTTCATTATGTCCTTTTCTTTGCTGTGTTTCATACTTGCATTACATTTTAACAAGAAAATTAGCATTATATGGCATGTACTATAGATGATGTGGAAAAATTACTTACTTTCAGGACCTTTTAAAGTTATTAATGGACATTTGGATCATACTCTTCGAAATTATCATGACGCGGTATGCCTAATGCTCATGATCTGCATAACTAGGAAACACCAGGTATGAAGGCATTTGCAGTTTTCTCTTTTATGGATAAAGACTGAACTACTTGATAAAAATTAGTAGAAGAAGACATGCAGGATGGTCTCATGTTATGAACTTATGATGTTACTCTACCCCCATCGTAATTACATATATCCTTTGGCATCCGCCTTTCATGGTTCCTATTAGTTTGTCTTTTTTACTGAAAACCATAATCAAAACTAGATTGTGAATATAACATGGATTTGAACTTAGTATTTTAAATTGGCATGGTATTAAGATATCCACCAAGATGGAGAAAGCGAATAGATGATGATCAATTCTGTAGCACTCGAAATATATTGCTTCAATATACAAATTCATTTGTATATAGTTCTGCTATTCTTTATAATTATAGGACTACATCCTTCGGACAATCAACTTGGTAGAGCAAACAGAGGACTTACATTTAATTCAACTTGTACCATTAGGCAACCAGGAAGTGCCAATTGAATGCCATTTTTGCTATGAACAAAACATTTTCTTGAAGTAACAAATTGCGACACAAACATTACTGTTTTAGTGGCACAAATTTTAGTTGCTATAAACTCCATTTCATAAATAATGAAATCAGTGAAGCTTTTGCTGTAGGACAATGTTCCTCTTGTTCCCTGATTTCAGTTGCTAATTTACGATGCTCAACTTTTGGCAATATGTGGATTTTTTGATAAATTAAATGTATGGAATATGATATAACATGAGTATCCCCTCCCCCCTCTCACGTTTTTGCTATTTCAGTTGGTTATGTTGAACAGGCGACTTCCTTGTCTAGACGCATATTTGGATAAGGTGTGTAAGCTGTAAGGGAGCATCATTGTGTCAAAATAACTTACTAACTCTGTTCTCAAATTTAGTTCTCTGCTGTGTTTGCTTTAGGTTCTCATCTATCTCTGGCCACGCTTCAAGACTGTTTTTGACATGTATCTTCAAAGCTTGTACCGGTGTGATACAAAATTGTTATGGGTAGATGGCTCCCATCCACACCATATTGTAAGGTGCTATGTTGAGTTCACAGCATCCCTTATTCAACTTAATGCTGAATGCGGAGATGGTCAGGTCAGTTGAATTACATAAACATATTGATTCTGTTGTACCATTGGATCCCCCAAGCGTTCTTTTAATTTATGTTGATACAAGAACTGCGTATCCAAATATTGATAACCAAGAACTGCGATCGACCACGCATAGCGGGGGTTGTTTTGGTGCTAGGCTCTACTCTTAGTGATTTGTGTTTGTGTGTTAGCGCGTGGTGCTTGGACGTGCACCTTGGTGCACTGTTGTGTTTTTTCTTGTAACTTTTTCTGCTTCTTAATACATTCGGATGGCCTCCTTCGGCCTTCCCGGTGAAAAAAAAAATTGATAACCACAATATTCATTTGATATCAAAATCGTTGATCATCAAATTTCCAATGTTACTGCTATCTTAATGAATCACATGCAATTTCTTTGTGTGTTCCTAATAAATAATAATAATAATAATTTTTGTTCCACCATGATCTCTTGCTGACATAAGTTCTGGATTGGTTGAGAAATACCAATCCAAATATGATTCACAATGTTCCATTCTGTTACTGGAATTTATTGGTTTAAGGTATTGTCTATTTTTTTTCCAGTTTTCTAGCATTGTGGACATATATGATGGCTGGCACAAGAAATCATGGCACTTGTCATTAGCTCCTTGTAGGCATGTGTACTAAAGTAGTGCAGATAGTTTGCACCAAAGCCAACCACACAATTTTTTTAGGAGTGCCAAATGTCAGACAAATGGCAAACTTATTCAAGGATAAGAATTTTAGTACCTCTGATGCAATTCAGTAAAATGGATTTTGTATCATAGCCGTGGAATATCTTTTTCAGTGCAAACAGTAATTTTGGTACAGTATTTTTTCTGTGCAAACAGTAGATTTTTTTCCAATAGCTTGTTTGGTTCTTCTATTCTTCGAAATAATCTGGATATACTCCATTTTTATATGATATTAAGTATCATATTATTTATGCAGCTTGATATGAACTTGGAACGCTTACGGCTAGCTGTTGATAATCTACTTGGTAGACTTGCTGAAAATTTTGCAAACCCCAAGACGCAACACTTGTTTCTTCTGAATAATTATGACATGACCATTTCTGTTCTGAAGGTTGGTCTCTTGCCTCTATCTTATAAATATACATGGCAATCCCTCCAGTTTTGGGGTGTTTACTGTAGCTACTAATTGCAGGAAGCCGGTGATGAAGCAAATAAACTGCAAAGCTATTTTGAAGAGAAGCTAGAAAGTAACATGATATCATTTGCGGTAAACATATCATATCATGCCATTTTTTATCTGCAACTGTTGTGTAACAGTTTATTACTATTGTATTGCTCTAGCAGGGGCTAGTTTAAACCAGCTCCTATGGTGAAATCCCAGCTGTACTGGAACTTGGTTAGAAAACACCAAATTACAACCAGCAAATAGCTGGTTATGAGTTATGACCCTTTTGTGACACTATTTCTAAGTTTCTTTTTGAAAATATTAAATATATAAATAAGAATTGATATTATAATGGATTTCATTTTCTTACATATTTTGCTTGACTACAGGATGAATTGCTTATGGAGCATTTCAAGGATTTGATAAAATTTGTGAGAAGCCGTGTCTGTAAGTTGCACAAAACTGAAGCAAGTTTATGCAAATGCTGTCATTCACAAGAATATCAAGAAAATAAAATTGTTTTTCGTTCTTTAGCTGAAGACCTTATTCTTTATACTGAATGCCCAAGCATTGCCGATGTTGAGCCAATTGTGAAGAACTTCGCCGTGACATGGAAAACTGCTCTAGAGCTCATGCACAATGAAGTTGTAACTTCTTGCAGTAACCTTTTAGCTGGGATGGAGATTCTAAAAGCAGCAATGGTTCAGCTACTCAATGACTACAACAGACTCTCAGAATGTGTGAAGATAATCCCAGGAGGATCAACTCTGAACAGGAATCTGGTTTCTATTACATCCATTTCATATGAGATGAGGAAATATTCAATAACACTCTAGTAATTGTTATGATGTCCAAGCAATTTTTGGAACAGATGAAAAACAAACAGCGCTGATAGTTTCGATCCCTATCTTCACAAGCAAGAGAAAAGCGCAACACAAAATTATATAATTTTGAACATTCTGTGCTTTGTTTTATGGATTGTACCTTCACGGCTTCACTGAAATTTTCTGATCAAATAATACTTGACAACAATGATCTGCTTGCAGTTTACTTCTGATTATTACTTTATGGTTTTGTCTTGTCTCAATTGAAGCCATATTATGGGGTCCATCAAGTGCATTTCTGTGTTAGCTTGTATCATCCAGATACCATTCAGACGATTTTTTTGGTACCCTTGGACTTGGCATTTCAATCAAGTAATGATGGTTCACCTATCGTTGTCAATCAGTTCCGGTAAGTATGTTTTACCTTATCTTCTCTCTTTTTCCTCTCAGAGACATTATTTTTCTTTGGATCTAAATTAAGTCCTGGGAAAGAAACAAGGGACTGTCATGGAACTGCAAAATTTGAAGCTCAAAATTTCCCATTAGCAATGGTTAATTTAAACCTTATAATCTGCTTCTACACCATATATGGTAAATTAACAAATGTAGTGGCTGTTGCTATCTTATTTTCTGTAGGAAAAAGAAATGGCTAGATTTCTTGTTGTTTACTCTGCTAATTGTTTGCTTGACGCTGTTCAATGAAGTTACTTCATTTTTTATTGTTATTCTGTTGTACAATTACACTATATGCTTGTCATCAATGATTTCTTTACTTTATTTGCAAATCCTGCGTGGGGAAGAAAACAAAGTGAGCTTGTGAAGTGTTGTGGGACAAAAGGTGATTTTGTCAATAGAAAAGGGTTTATGCCTATCAAAACCTTTCATATCTGTTTCCCATCATTGAAGTTCATGCACCTAACTTATCCATTATTAACAAAGGAAATTGGTGTTCATCAAACACATATTTTAACAGACCAGTTTAACCAACCCTTTGGCTGTATCCTTGTCCATCCTACATTTACTTTTGATCTGAATAATCTGATTCATAATACTGGATCTGTTGCTAAGTTCTATTTGACTTGCAATATATAGTTAGGCTCCATATAGTTTGTCAAATGTTCATCTACAACAACTCCCAAATGTTCAGATTAATGTAGCTAATGTCAAGTGGATTACTACCTAAGCCCTCCATTTCCTTCTCTGCCACAGACCACAATCCTGATCGATATCCTGTTCAGGACTTCAGGGAAAAAGAACACCATTCTGAAGTGAAATAGGAAGCCATGCCTCATGGCCTCATGCCCCACCCGTCTTCATCTCCCAATCTTATCCAATTATCCTGCGGCATCCTCCAAGATTTCTCTGGATCAAAAGTTGGACAGCACTGTTCTAAATGTAAAATTGTACCAGATTATCATAGTAAAACTGCAGCACACTGATAGAGTTTATTTTCTCAGTTCAAATGCATGCAGATTGCAGAGTTAGGAACAACACAGGGCATAAACTGTTGCCTTGTCTCTGAGACAGATTATCTGCAATTCTGCATTAAGGCTGCAACATTGGGTGATCAATTAATCGACCCCAAAGCTGAAAAATATGACTAGTTCAACAAGCTGCAATCTGAATAACATCTTACCATGCATCCTGCACTGCTTGGGTGCACTGTGCACCTACCTGTTTTCTGCACATAGCTATCTGCTCTTTTGTTTCTGTCAATATCATGACATCTTCCAGACATTGACATCTCTGCATGTTTTGGTTTGGTGCATTGCAGCTAGTTCAGCTTCGCATGCAGTGCAGGCGAAGACGACGGCGGCGGCCCCAGCTCTCCTCCTCCAGTGGGCGGCCGGAGCCGTCACCTCGCCGGCCGGCCTGGCCGCCCACCGCATTTCGTCAGGTACGTACCCATCGATCCCATCCCCCCCTCCCCCGCCACTACTGCTACTATGGTCCGGTTTGGGAGAGCTTGTCCCAGCTATTTTCCCAAAAGCTGCTTCTGCTAGAAGCTGTCCCAAACAGTCCACAGCTTATGAGAATATGTAGTTACAGATTCTGAAAAATGAACTAAGAAGGCAGAAGCTGGGTTTCAGAGCTTTTCCAGATTCTCAGAAGCTGGCTACCAACAGCTGCTTCTCAGAATCTGAAACTCCCCAAAAAGGCCCTACAGCTAGATAGCGTCACTTTTCTCCCAGACCGATCCTGTCTTGGCAGAAAAGACGCGAGAATTTGGGCAAAAGTGGCATGCAGATATGCATCTGCCGGTAGTTGCTAGCCCCAGTAGGCAGGCAGGCAGGCAAGTGTTGTACCAGGATGATGGATAGATAGATGGTGGCATGGTAGCCGTTAGCTCGTTGATACCTGATAAGCCATTGGCACATCGCCATGACGCCATGGCTGTCGATCTGCATGGTTGATCCTTTTTTTTACCTTTTCTTTTTGGTGTGTAGCTTTATTAGCTTTCATTCAAAGTGATTGGTTTTTTTCTGAACTGCAAGTAGACAGTCGGCAGAAAGGGGTGGATGATCATACCAACTTACGCTGTCTCGGAAACGCATGAATTTTATACGATCTTTTGTTAGATTTTTCACATAAATAAGTTTAGTTCCTACATAAGCCTGCTCGAGATCACAAATCGCTTGGTAAATTGGTCAAGTTATTAAAAATAATCAAACTGAGTTTGGAATTTTTGATAACTAGAAAAAATGCCCATGCGTTACAACGGGTGAAGGCTATTTTAATATTATTATTGCTCACTGTGAAATTCATTATGAGAATTCGCTTGGATATATATTTTTCTAGAAAATCATGTCAAGTTAGCATGCGAGTTTTTTAAAATTAATTTCTTATACGTTATATATTTCCAAAAGCGAACGAACTTAAAACCTGATTCAAATACGGATCTGTATTTACAAAAGCGAACGAACTAAATAACCGACTCATACACGGATGACGTACCAAAAGTACCGGCAAAAACATCTTCAATTTTTATAATAGTAGAGATTTGGTTGAATTTCTACCTGCAATCAATGGTCCTCGAACAGTTTCCGTGAAAACCAGGAATTAAAAGGTGGTTCGGTTTTGTGAACTCTCCTAGAGGATATGGTCTCCATGCAGATGGACATCTGCATAATTAAATAGCTGCGTGTCTAGTGCTGAGTTCGGATGGGGGAGGGAACCCAACTCCTGCGCACAGAAAACGGAGCAGTCCATTAACGCATGATTAATTAAGTATTAGCTATTTTTTTTTCAAAAATGGATTAATTTTATTTTTTTAAGCAACTTTCTTATAGAAACTTTTTGCAAAAAACATACCGTTTAGCAGTTTGAAAAGCGTGCGCGCGGAAAACGAGAGAGAGGCGATGGGAAAAGGTGCATGCGAACACATCATAAGGGCACCCACAATGGTTATCTATAGGCTCTCTACAAGAGATCCATGTCAGCATATTTTTCTACTTGGAAGGTATTAAATGAAGAGAGAGAGCAAAGCTATCTACTAACTTAGAGATAGTCTATAGAGAAAAACGAGGCAATGCATGAGAGATTTATAGATACCAATATAGACATACTATTAAGGTGGTTTACTATTAATCGAGTATATTGCTGAGATGTACATGTTTTATAAATAGCACCTTACTTTACCATTGCGGGTGCTCTAAGTGGGGTCTTAGACATGGAGGTGAAACTTAGCACTCGATCTGCATCCAGTAGGTATGAAATGAACTAGCCCAGTAGGCAGCCAAGCTGCAGGCAACAGTGCCGTATAAGGATGTGTGATAGATGCATGGGGGCATGGTAGCCGTTAGCTCGTGAATTTTTTTTTAGAGAAGGGTGTATTTTACTCGGCCTCTATATCCAACTGGATATATACGGCTATTGAAATAGAGAACTTAGCCCCGCAAACAACCCAATCTGAAATTCGCTCATATGGAAATTTGAACTCAGAACCTTAAGATACTACTCAGGTCACTGCAACCACTAGGATACATGCCGTTAGCTCGTGATACCTGATAATCCATTGGCACATCGCCATGACGCCATGGCTGCATGCATGCTTGATCCTTTTTCCCCCCTTTAGCCGTTCAGCCTTCATTCAAAGTGATTTTCTTTTTCTGAACTGCAAGTGGACAATCGGCAGAAAGGGTTGGATGCTCATATATGTAGCAACATAGGCCTCCTCTTGAAGACTTAAACACAAGATTTTCATAGAAATTTTGTCGGATTTTGAGCAAAATAAGTTTGGCCGGTTAACAGTTTGGTTGTATCACCTTGATGAATTTTATTGAAGTTTTGTCAGATCTTCACATAAATAAAGTTGAGTTGCTGCATAAGCCGGGAAAAAATTCATGCGTTTTCACCAAGAATATCATGTATATCCTCCTTGTCCTGTCAGGTTATTAACACTTACCAGTGTAGCTACTCTAGAGCTTTCCTTCCTAGTGGATATGGCCTCCATGCAAATGGACATCTGCATTTTTTTAATCAAAAAATGGAGATCTGCATTGGCTGAAGAGGTAATTATCTATGTGACTAGTGCTTGATTACTACTGAGTTCATCTTATAGGTGAAGGTGAAACGTAGCACTCAATCTACAGTACGTATGAAATGGACTAGCATTTTTGTCTGCCACAACCAATCTCATATAGCCTTCATCTTACTGCAGCAAAGCTCCATGCAAGATTCCCTTGCTAAGGCATGATTAGTGGTATGTGCTTGTGTAAGCAGACTCTTCATTTGGCCATGTAAGATACAAAATTCAGGTACAGTTAAATAACCCAGCTGTACGGTGTAATTTAGTTTTTTTTTCTTTAGATAATGGACAGCGTCCGACCTCTGCATTATAAAGTGAATGCAAACGGGCAAACAAAGTACAAATAGGTACATAGACTCCGCAGGTTAACAAAATAATGACACAACCAGCCTAAGAATTACATCCAAATAAGTATAAGTTATTTGGATGCAATTATTACACTATAATTTAGTGGGAACTAAAATACTAATTACTGCTGTATTATTACACTATATCCATAATATTGTTCATCTAGAGGCTCCTAGCAACTACTCCCGATTGGAAGATGCTCACTATTTCCCTGTTTCCTTTGCAGCCTGCCGATGCATCACTAAACATGATGGATTACAGAGAGCAGAAAGCGAAATGCTCGTCAGTTAGTGGGAGGAAGGTAGAGGGTAGTGCTACCCATGTGCAGAGAACTGCTCCGACCAATTGATGACGAGTTCGTGTCACTAACAGCCTCACAGGTAATCTAATTAAGCTCATCAGTACAGTACAAGAGGAATATTTCTGCTGCTGCTGCATTTGTGCGCCTTTTTTTGCCTCTTAGCTTTCATGCAAGCTAGCTACTACTGCATGCGCTTTAGATCATTTTAGATAGATATTTAGGTGGATGGATTAGGGTATGGGACCCATGCATGCTTCTGGATAAGCAAAAGCAAAGCAGAAACTTGCAAGAAGATAAAAGAAAAGAATAAAGATTGGGATCAGATGAAGGCGACCTGTACTAGTGTAGTACTACCTTGTGTGCTGCATTGGTGCTAGCTGCTCCAGCTTTGGGGCTCCATTGACTAGGAGAGTAGCTACTCCCTCCGTCCCTAAGTATAGTTTTAACACTATTCATGCTCAATGTTTAACCGTTCGTCTCATTTGAAAAATAATTATAATTAGTATTTTTATTGTTATTAGATAATACATGAATAGTACTTTATGTGTGACTAATATTTTTAATTTTTTTTATAAAATTTTTAAATAAGACGGACGGTCAAAACGCTGGACACGGATATCTATGGCTATACTTATTTTGGGACAGAGGTAGTAGGAGACAACCCATGCACAAGTAGTTTCAGACTTTCAGTTGCTTTAACTTAATTTAATTCCTCCAATAATTTTTCCTGTGGTGATCAATTTTATATGGTGGTTAAATTTCACTGTGCTGACACTAGAGTAAAAAAAATTAACACAATTAATTTAGTGAAAACATGTACTATATAAGTACTGCCTAGCTTGGAAAAAGTAAAATTGAAACATCATAGATTTCTGTGTGAAATTATTACAGTGGTTTTATTTCTTTGTAATAATTTCAGAGTTTTTTTAGCCTAATCCAATAATAGGACAGTGTACTGTTACAACTGCATGCTGAAAGTAAAATGACCGCAGCATGCATTCATCTGTCTTTTGCTGGCCCAGGATGAAAGTTTAGAAAACTCTGAATATATTGTGATGTGAAATTAACATTTGTACTGGGATATATTGCTGACGTTAAAGCGAGCTACTCCGACTAAAACAAATGCCCTGGATTGAAGTCAGCAAAGTCACGGTAGCTTTGTGAAATGACCATCCTTGATTGACAATCTTGCCACGATCAAGAATAATAATAATTAACACAGCAAATTCTGTCACCCAAATCTCTATTGACAACTTGGCAGATGACATATGGTTGTTTCCCCTTTTTTTTTCACTTTGATCTTTTCTGACAAGTCACTCTTTCGTGTACTATTACATTTAAACTCATGGTTGTAATCAATGCAGTTGCATTCATTCTTAATTACAGGGATGACTGGTTCCATGCTGTTCAATTCACAGAATTTTCTTAAGCATCTACTAGTAGTAGTTTTATTTCCGCACCCTGTTGTGCCCCTAGGGATTATAGCTGTTTTGAGAAATTCACAGGTAAATACAACATGTACGCGTCGATCCATTTTTGTGATGGATTGGCATTTGACTGACCGTCGCGAGATGACCGTAGGCTCTTTAATTGAGTCGCCGGATACGGCGCCGTACAAATGGCCGAGGTTTAAAATTTTGGATGAATTTAACTAAATTCTGGCGAAATTTATGTAATATTTTTGGCGTTTCAAGTTAACGAGTCCTAAGGGCATGTGTAAAGGAATAGCCTGGCATGCTCAAAGGTAAAGCGTAGCATACGTCGACAAAAAACAACAACTAATGCACCAAAATATATTTTTGTTACTTTTTTCTTTTCTTAATCGTTATGCAACAAAGTTTCCTTTTACCTTAGTGTTTATATTAAGCCATTGTTAAGCTTAACATTGTTGTTTCTCTCTCCATTCCTATCTCTCTTGCATGTCAGTAAACTTGTCTTATTAACAATCTAAGAGCCTTGCTATTAATTTCTGTTGTGTATGCCCTTAAGATGCATCCAGCGAGAACGGGGTGATCCTTTGATATAGGTCACGTGATTACATACAACTTGTCTTTATGCTGATCGGGTATTCGTATTTTCAGGCATTGTACAAATGTCACTCTTGGTTCGAAACATTTTTTTAGACGCTAGTACGCTTCTTAATATTTAGGATAAGTCTAGCTGTCTAACTCAAAGGATTAAGGTCTCCTTTGATTTTTGAATCGTGGAAAATTTACCCGAGTCTTACAAAATTACAAATTTATGCGTTCTGGATGGACCTAATAGTAGTTATCAGTACATATCGAAGTCACTATTTCGTCTCTAGCTAGCTTCGTCTCAAGACTGAAAATTTAGCTAGCTAGCTAGGAGTATCAATAATTCAATATGGATAAGTACTGTACAAGTTTCTGTACGAAGTAGTACGTAGTAACAATTTTATTTTGTGCTGTTTGTATGGAAATGAAAGAAAAGAAGGAACATATCACGTTTGATTTAATACCAGATTTGTCCTCCCTAAGTTTAATGGCACCCTAAAATTTGGCAATCAAAATGTCGCCCTGTTTGGCAAGATATCGGATCAACGACAGATAGCAAGAGTGAAATCAGTGTTGCAAAATCTGGCAACGAACCAAATGATGATCCAATCCCAATCAGTGAATGCTAAATCTTGATTTTGACAAACATAAACAAAAGTTAGCAGCAATTCAAACACCCAAAATCTCAAAATTTCCAAAATTACTTAACAATCATTTATCTCCACAAAATGAACAGCAATTCAAACACCCAAACCTCAAAATTTCCAGAATTACTTTACAAACATTTTTCATATATGGCAAAAATAAATGGATCGAAAAATGAGCCGACTTATCACCACTCTCCCCTTATATAAGCGCCTCTCCCCTTTGCTTTGCTCTCTACACCCACCGCCACCGACCCAACCACACACGCAGCTCGCCATGAAGTGCTTCTTGCTCACCGCCGCGGCGGCGGCGGCCGCCATCGTCGTGGTCACGTCGGCGGCGGCCTCGTACGACTCGCCCGCGTCTCTCCCCGCCGGCGTCCTCTCGTCGCCTTCCTTCTTGTGGATCGCGGCGAACGTTATCGTCGTCTGGCTCGTCTCGTCTTACCGTGGCCACACGGCCGCCGGCGACGGCGATGGGGTTGGAGAGAGCGGCGGCGGCGGCGTGGACGTGGGGTTGTACACGTCGTCGTCGGGGCATGGGCATGACCATGACCATGACGACATGTTTGCTGTGGCGGCGGTTGCGGCCGACCTCGTCGTCGTCGCTGCGGCGCCGGTGGTGACGACGACGGTGGCGAAGAAGAAGCCGTCGCGAGAGGCGAGAGCGGCGAAGAGGAGCACCACCGACCGCCCGCGTGCCCGCAAGGCGGCGGCGTCGGCGGCCAGCGGGGAGACGACGCCGGCCAGACCGGGCGACTGCAGCCCGCGCGACGTCAGCAAGGCGTTGGCCGGCGTGGTACTGCAGACGCCGAGAGGCGCCGCCGCGGCGGTGGGCGCTGCACTCATGGACACCGTCGACGTCAAGAGGCCGATCATCGTCGAGGAGGAATGGCTAACCTGGGACCTCGCCGCCACGGCGGCGGAGGCCACGGCGAAGCCGGACGTCAAGAAGTCCGTCGTCGATGAGGAATGGCCGGACTGGGCCTTCTTCGTCGACGACGACGCCAAGAATCCCCTCGTTGGGGAGGAAGAATGGTCGGCGTGGGTCCTCGCTTGCACGGAGGAGGCCAAGCCGGCCGTCGTCGAGAAGAAGCCCGTCGTCGCCGACGAGCCATGGCCGAGCAGCTGGACCATCGCCGCCACGGACGTCAAGATGGCCGTCAAGAAGCCCGTCGTCGTCGAGGATCCATGGCGACCACCACCGAGCAGCTGGACCATCGAAGCCCCCGCCGACGGCGACAAGTGGGCAATCACGCTCGCCACCGACTTCTCCACGCCCAAGCCTGACGTCGTCGCCGGCGCCGGCGCCGGCGACGACGACGACGACGTGTCCATGGACTCGATGTGGCAGACCATCCTCCAGAGCGGCCGGGCGCGGCCGGTGACCGTGCCGAAGAGCGAGACGTGGGCCACCACCACCGACGAGCAGCAGCCGCGGCGCCGGGAGCGCGCCGCGGCGGCGGCCGTGGCGCGGCGAGAGATACGCAAGTCGGCGACGGCGACCAACATGACCCCGCCGCCGTCGCCGCCGCACGTGCGGGCGCCGCCGGCGCCGGCCAGGCGGCCGTGGCGCACCAGGGACGTGCTCCCGGCGATGCCCAACGACGAGCTGATGCGCCGCGCCGAGAGCCTCATCCGGCGCCACCACGAGCAGCTGCGCCTGCAGCGGCAGGAGTCCGAGCAGCGCCAGGCCCTGGAGCTGCAGCGCCGCCGCCCGCTCATCCGCGTGTAAGTCCGCCGCCGCCGCTCGCCGCCGGCGACGATGCATGCATGCATGCAAGGCGGTGTGTACAGCAGTAGTAAAAGCTTAGGCAGCAGGGAGGACGTGGCCATGGTTGTGTGTGCAGCGGTTTGATGCACTGGCCACATAGACCTTGATCCTCCAATAATTATTAGTAGGTTAATTAGAGTAATTAGGCTTAAAAAAGGTTTAGATTTAGGTTTGATCTGCATGACTGCATGCAAGATTATGCTTGCATTTTGAGTGCCTTGATGATCTCTGCATAGGGGATTAATGTAACTCGATCTCTATGAATGGAGAGGTAATTAAGAGCACTTGTTTTTTTTGAAAAAAGTAATTGTTTTGTGTTTGTGATCATGCTGTATTGCTAGGGAAACTGTTTCGAACCTTTAAGGGGTCGTTCTCTCGTTTATCTATAGCCCATCTAAATTGTTATGAAAAATTCTAAAGAAAATGCATGGTAGAATTTATACAGCATATAAATACCACTCCACAAAATCAACTCACACATTCAGATATAAAATGACAAATTCAATCGATCAATAGTAGTGGTACTATTCATCAGAGGCGAAGCCAGGATAGATGGTCACCAGGGTCACTATTAATTAACGATCCTAACAATTGGCTATAGCTTCTAATAATTTTAAGGCTATTGTTGTAGTAGTGGTTACCTTTTACATATCAGGGGGTGTTTAGATCTAGGGGTATAAAGTTTTGGCATGTCACATCGGATATTATATAGGGTATCACATGGGGTGATCGGGCACTAATAAAAAAAACTAATTACATAATCCGTCAGTAAACAGCGAGACGAATTTATTAAGCCTAATTAATCTGTCATTAGAGAGTGTCTACCGTAGCACAACATTATCAAATCATGGAGCAATTAGGCTTAAAAGATTCGTCTCACAAATTAGTCGCAATATGTGCAATTAGTTATTTTTTTAGCCTATATTTAATACTTCATGCAGGTGTTAAACGTTCGATGTGATATGGTGTAATTTTTTTGTGTAGGAACTAAATAGGGCCTCAATTACAACCACATCATTATTGTACTAGATTACTATATTTGGGAAAAGAATATAACAACCTCTTATATGGTGAAAATCACCTTTGTTATATTCCCCCAGGCTCATGCCTCATGATCATGTAACTGAACTTGAAAAATCAAACGTTTATATTTCAAAACTCTAATTTCCTCAAATTCAGACTTGAGAGACTAGGTTTAATCCTAAATAAGGGCCACTTTATGAGCGCCATTCTAAAACGTATATGTATATCTATATAGACTGACATATAATCACAATTGCTAACTAATTTTCTATTTGCTAGCTGATAATAGTATCGTTCCTTGCCACCAGTTGAGCTTTAATGAAACAATCACCAGGTCTAGTGTTTTCTTTGACCGGGGTCATAGCTGTAAAATAGAAAGGAGTTTAAGAGGCTCAGAAGAAATCATCGGGGTCTACTGACCCCAATAACTTGCTATAGCTTCGCCCCTGCTATTCATACCTTATTTTTAATATGTAAGTCAAGTTTGGACTTGATTTTTTGTGAAATGCTACTATACTCTATATTGTTAATTTTTTATAACTATTTATTTATATTAAATTTGAAAGAAAAAGATACGATCCATTCCCCTCCTCCCTTTTTTACAATGGATAAACCGGTTGCTGCAAAGATGCACAAAGCTATAACCAATTATTATAGATAAATGTGCGACTGTTTAATGAGTATATGCATCTGCCTTCTCAACAATAGTTGGTTGCCTGTCATGCCTGTAGCATACTAGCATTGACTATTTTTGTGTTTATTTGACTACTAACATGTTGCTGTTATATCATGGTCGTTGCTGTCGTTTCCCACTTGCAATCAGGGAAAACTGGGAAGGGGGAAAAGGCAGGATGTAATGTATTCTGAACCTATCAGAAAATACCGTACATTTTATTGGCATGTCCGTACTTTACAAAATTATAATTATAAGGGAACATTTTACACTCGATCATGGAGCTATTGAAACAATTAATTTGCCTTATATATGCCTCAAATCCTGGTATTTCTATAATAAAAAAAAATTCTTTACATTCAATGAAACCCAGTAAAATAAACTAGGTGGGTTTACAAGCTTGCATAATTCATTATGCTATATATTAATTACTGATCACAGCAGTGCCCGTATCCACATTCTGTAATTTATCCTAGTAATCTACTCCTACCAAATATAAAAACCACATTAACTGAAGAGACCATGCTTTGGAATGCAGGATTTTCAAATAAAATAGTTGTATTAGTTTATATATATATATATATATATATATATATATATATATATATATATATATATATATATATATATATATATATATATATATACACACACACACACACACTACCTATTTTTAAAATATATTTTTTTGGCAATACGCAAGGAGCGTATTTTTTATTAGAAGAAATAAAGTTATTTACAATCTAAAAGAAAAAACAAGCAGGGGACATATTACAGGATGAGGGCAACCAATGGAAACTTAAGCCTATTCTTGTTAAAGAAGATGGCGACCATGAGCAACGAAGGTTTTACAAGAGCAGCGCCGGCATCGCCGAGTTGGCTAGGCGCCAGAGCTCCGCTTCAGCTGATATCGCCTGGCAATCTCTAGCCAAGCTTTGTGTTGATGGTTAAAAATGCGATTGTTCTTCTCCTTCCATATTGTCCAAGCCACCAACGTTGCAATGGTGACGAAACCTCTTCGTTGTGATTCGACCAACCTCTCCCGAGTGTCACAGAGCCAATGAAGGAAGGAGGATTCGTTCATTGGCAAGTAGGCCTGCAGCCCAATAGCTCCAAGAGCCATCCACCATAACTAGCAAGATTAGGGGCAAACGACCAAAAATGTGATCGATTGTTTCGTCGCTCTGATCACAGAGAACGCACTGGTCTGGGTGCTGCAGGCCACGCTTGCGGAGACAATCTGCAGTCTAGCATCTATTAAGTGCAACTAACCAGATGAAGTAGCGGCAGCAAGGAGGCGTCATCATCTTCCATACCGGTGCGTTCTGGAACTGGATTCTTCCCAGGAAGAGGGCTTGATATGCTGATTTGGAGGTAAATTCTCCTGAGTTGCTCCATTTCCAGGAAATAGTGTCCAGCTGGTCTGAAAGCTGCACAGACAAAACAATGGTCCAGAGGTGGAGATACTCAAGGATCGCTTGCATTCCTAGAGCTCCAGAGATTATCCTGAATCCATCTTCTGTCGACTAGTGCTTTGGCGATCGTCCGACGCTTCTTGGCGCGTGGCAGAATGCAGTTAAAAACCGTCGGTGCCAGCTATTTGATGGAGGATCCTTCAATCCAGTTGTCGATCCAGATATATTTCTTTTTAAAATATATGAAGCTGTTGACTTTTAGACATCATGTTTAACTATTCATGTTATTAAAAAATTAATACAAATACGAAAAATGTAAGCCATGTAAAGCACCTTCAATAGTAAAACAAGTCGCGATAAAATTTTTATATATAGTCTTTTTAAATAAGATGGATCATCAAATATCATGTTCAAAAGAAAACAATAGTAAGCTTATTAAAAAAAGGAAACAATAACATATATTTAAAAACAGAATAGTAGAAAAATCCAAACATGTCCTAATTCTTAGTACTAATAAAACCAAACACACACACACATCTCTACAGTTCTGAATCTAATCAAGCAGTGACACTCTAGTGTGACTTGTTTACTCAATCACTTCTGCATGTACTACCTATAGAAGCTATACAAGAGACCTGCATTTCAGCTACTATTCGTTTGCATAACAGTCAATCAATCAGTAGGATTAGATCAATCAATCAATCGTTTAATGAAGCTTCTCCTTTTCACCTTTCGATGTGTCGGGTGGGGGAAACACAAAAGAGAGGAGTAACGGATGAGATCGCAGGGTTGGTGCAGATCATAATCATAGGCTTGGCACCTAGGAGTAGTAGGGCAACCAGCAAGGCCTAAAGAGTGATACAATAGCTTGTTCCATCAGGTTTTCTTATATCCAAGCCAGTCGGCCACCTATGTGTTGACAATGCTGCTGCACTAGTGATTCTCTGCTAGTAGAAAACCTACCATTGCTGTTTTCTTTTTTTAAAAAAAAAATCTACTATTGTCTCGACAACTTGTCTAAGCAAGCAACAAAAAGAACCCTCTTCTTCCTATGCTCTTTGTCGCTCTTTATTTGGTACTCCCTCCGTCCCACAGTATAAGGGATTTTGAGTTTTTGATTGTAACGTTTGACCACTCGTCTTATTCAAATTTTTTTTGTAAATATAAAATCCGAAAAGTTGTGCTTAAAGTACTGTAAATAATAAAGTAAGTCACAAATAAAATAAATAATAATTTCAAAAAAAATTGAATAAGACGAGTGGTCAAACGTTGCAAACAAAAACTCAAAATCCCTTATATTATGGGACGGAGGGAGTATATCTCTTTTTACTTCGTAACTTAGAAACTTCATGTTTTCTACGCAAGTCAAATTTGTTCTGATAGGAAGGAATAAAGAGAATACAGTTCTCTTCCATTCCTTACAAGGGATGCGGCTTCCTTGTTTCGTACTCTCTCCGTCCCAATATAGATGCAATCTAGTACATATGTGACATATCATAAAACTATGAATTTATCCGGGACATGTTAAATCTGTACTAGGTTACACTTATATTGGGACAAAGGGAGTAGATATTATTGTTTTATTGGTTGAAGGTTTTCCGATGGGCCCTCACATTGCGCATTGTCTCATGCAAACGGTGTTATATCATGTACTCTGATCTAATACTATAACTAATAATTGAAAACACCGTCATTTAATCTGGTTAACTGAATTAAGACACCAAACAAATAAGATTGGTGACGGGAGAAACGGTGATGGTAATAGGAAATCAGAATAGGGAAGTCGCACCCCTTAGGAGGCCTTGATTGAGTGGAATGTCAGAAATTTTGTGCATTGCTATGAAATTGAATTGTTCGGGATGCTATTTTCAAGAGAAGAGCCTTTTATGATTCATTTTCAATTGATTATGCTTGTTTTTGAGAATAAGAATTTCATAGTGAATGGAAAATATTTTATGATTCATTTTCAATTGATTATGCTTGTTTTTGAGAATAAGAATTTCATAGTGAATGGAAAATATTGTTCTGAAATACTAAGGAGGAACTTAGTATCTGGTATTGATAGAGAAGAAAATGGTGAGAAAACCTGCTTTCAAACGGAGTCGAACTCAGGTCAGCACGCTGCTCCTGGCAGCTCCCTACCAGCTGAGTTAGGTGTTGTTCTCAAATGTTTGGAAATTGGAATACTAAGGAGGAACTTAGTAT